TAGCTATTCTCAGCCGTGCCCTCTATGAACACGTTTTGACTTGTGAATAAGTGTGCAATGTTCTGTAATTTGCTTCACTAACTCATGGCACTAATCGTGTGTTTCAGGCGAGGTGTTTCTCTCTGGATTAGAAACTAGTTTTCCCCTCCGGGATAAAACGATAATATAATGTTAGCAATTAGCATGCTAGCTGGACATAATGCTACCTCTAACAATACATTGTAGTTGCTATAATTTCAAGTAATTTGCAACATTCATTCTACATGTTAATGGTAAAAGCTTAAATAGTTGATTACCTGCATGCCACAAAGACTGATGTTCTAATATTTTTGCACATTTAAGTAGAAATGTAATTGAAATTCTATTTATTTTTCCTTTTTTTTATTGATTGTTATAATTGTACTCAGCCATGTTATGTTAGACGTCAATCCACTTACACTGTAACTACTCTGGCCTTGAAAGAAGGTTACACATCTAACTGATGTCCACTAATCCCTATAAAACAAAGTTCAAGCATACATTAAGCACAAAACAATAAATAAGGGCACTTTGATATTTATTTTTTATTTGATATTATTTGATCCTATCTTATCTTCTACTTTACACCTGCATTTTGTACACTGTCCCTGCCTGCACCATGTCCAATGTTGTCTCTGTTGACAACCTACTAGGCGATTAAACTGATCTTGTATCTTGCTTATTTGTCCTTAGGAAAGCGGGCACAGCTTCCTTGACACCATCATGGCGATGGACTGCCGTGCCATGGTCAGCAAGGAGAATGAGGACCTGCGTGCCAAGGAGATGCACGACGAACGGCTGCTGCATTCACACAAGGCCCAGGAATCGGACGACCAGCTGCTCATGGTGATGCCGCGCCATGCTGACTCGGCGGCGCGCCAGGTGGAGGTGTCGGCGCGCCAGGTGGAGCAACAAAATACCTTTCAGGCTGGACTTCTGGCAGTGCAAAGCGAGCTGATTAAATCCAACAGGCCTTCAATAAAAAAATAAAGAAAAACTTGTTGTCGTTGATAAACTGTACAATGACTTGTTGGGAGGCGTGTGGTGCAGTGGTCTGGTGCGTTGGTGTTCGGATCAGGGGAGCACAGGTTCAAACCCCACTGCAGTCAGCATGTCGTTGTGTCCCTGGGCAAGACACTTCACCCCAAATTGCCTACACCTGGGACAGTTAATTTTGTATTATTGTGATTATATATATGCCACTGTTATTAATCCTGACACTTCACTTTGCACTAAGGTGTGTCTGCTGCTGAGCCTATCTATTGTTATTATATATATATATATATATATATATATATATGTTTTGATACTACTGACACTTTATTTGATATTGAAAATGTTAACTTGTATTTACATGCATACGACACACCTGGGACAGCGTGATGCTGTTATTGATATTGTCTTGAGTGTGCAATAAAAGAGAACCTACATGGCGATTAAACGGAGCCTATATCTTACATTTTTCATTACATTTCATGTAACTAAGCTTGCTTATTTCTCCTCTGACACTTTATCTTTACAGTGACCTGTGTAGCATCCTATACATCACGTGTAAGTGATTATTCTGATACCATCATGTTTCATCGGTTATAAACTGGCGAAACTTTATTTATTGTGGCTTTCAAAAAGATAATTTCATTGTATTTCAAAATGGCGTCCAACACAAGCACTATTTATTTATAGAAAGAGAAATGGTTAAGTTTGTTATTACCAGTGTTGTGAGTTCAATATTTTTAATTAATTATAGTAAGGGAACATCTTAGGAGTTAGTGTAGTGAGTTTCAGAGCAGTGTAATAATTATTTGACCTAAAACTAAATGTTTTTATGAACATGACATGACAAAAGGGGGATTTGCTAACTTTCCCCCATTTTACACGACACAAATGGAGGCCACTATGGGCCACAACTGGCCCTACACACCAGGCCGATATCGGCTGTATTGCCGTGTTGGGCGTTGTTGGGCGAAAACGGGTTCCTTGTCAATTTGGTGTGTCCCGAACCCTCGGCCGTGACACGCCTTATTTGGCCTTTCACGATCGACACCCAGCCGATTCAACATGTTGAATCGGCCGGCTGTCGACCACAAGCTATCGGGCCAAGAAAGCACTCTGATTGGCTGTTCAGCTAGCGAATGAGAAGCGAAACGGAAGTGAGGGACGTAAACAAATGATTGAAGAAGGCACACACACACAGATGGCTATTCATTTTCATCTCATCGGTGTATTGATCATCATGGCGATCTGGAATGAAGCAATCGAAGACCTGTTCGTCAATTTAATTCAGGAGAGGCCAGCTCTGTATGATATTACAGAGGCTAAATACTCAAATCGAATCGTTAAAACGGGACTCTGGCGAGAGATAGAATCGCAACTTGGTTTCTCAGGTAAGATTATCTTTTTTCATCAATTGAGCTCTTGAGCAGAAACTGTTGGTTTTTTATTCTTTGCCAGCGTACGTGAAATGTAATTTGTTATTTCAACCTTGTGTTTTGTTGTTATCTTGTTGGTAGCTGTTGCTAGGAAGGAGAGTACTTCCAACCTCACCTTCACGGTAACTATTTTATTTGTTGAGTACAAATACGTGTTTCTTGCTTCTTTCAATTACAAAAACATTATTTGCATTCATGTGGTGGTTCCAGTGGTAAATATAACAATAACAGAATAATATATATATATTATTGTATTATAATTATTGATGTGATCATCACCTTAATGTTGCAGCTGGTAAAGGAGGAGCTAATTTAAATTACATTATATACTGCTGGGTAGCTTATGAAATTCACCATGGGATCAATAATGCTTTTATCTTAACCTATAATAATAATACATGATAAAATATGTCTTGATTATATTTTGTAGTGTTCTGAATCTTCTAGAAGTACGTTTTAGCATCTGAATAGAGCCATCACAATGTTTCTACAATGTGCCTCTCACACTTGACCACACCCCGAACTAATGGCACACACATTTCAGGGTATTGTGTTGTTATGAATGCTTAGTAAACAGTTTTAAGAATCCATGGTATTAAATCCAACTAACTGTGAATTTATTTAACATTTTTTAAGGAAGGTCCGGAGGCTGCAGAATCACCCCTCGGTGGCACCAGCAGTGAAACATGCATGTCCAGCACCACTGAGGAGTCCTGCCACACTGATGCTGAGCCCTGCACTCCCCTGGCAGAATCCACCATCTTCAACACACCGGCGCCGGCACCCTCACCGTCACCGCTCGGAGAGAGGCCAAGCACACCCAGCAGTAGAATGACTCCGGCGAAGCGCAGGATGCTGCAGGATTTGCGGGATGAGTCCATCGCCGACCAATCACAAACATTGCTGCATGGTATCACCAACACTCTGGCACACTTGGCCCCGAGTAGAGTGAATGACGTATTCACGGCCCATGCCCAAGTGTTTGAGCACAGACATTTTTTTTTCTGTATTGCCTAGCCTTTTTATTGTATTGTATTTTTGTAGATAGTTTACTTTTTGTATTATATTGTTGGATAATAAACCACTTTCTACCTAAACTGCAAAGCTTTATTTTGTACCTTCATACTACAGCCATTACATAACACAACATAGAATGATTTATTTCTGCTTCAGAGAGCTGAAGTGGAGGAGCTGATTTAAATTACATCATATACTGCTGGGTAGCTTAGGAAATTCACCATGGGATCAATAACATTTTATCTTAACCTATAATAATACATGATAAAATATGTCTTGATTACATTTTGTAGTGTTCAGAATCTTCAAAGTTAAGTGAGCAGCATAAAGTACACTGAATGGGAGTGGAGCAGGGCCTTAAAGTTGCAGGATTAGTCTCAAGTACTTCAACATTGTCCTTAAGTACAGTGTCTAAGTACATCACATACTGTCTACCGCTGTTCTTTGTTCAAGATTGAAATGTAAATATCCAAGACGGTTTTCTGCCCCTCTATTCACATGTAGCCTTTCAGACGTGATGGTTTCTTCATCATCAAACTGTTGTGGAGCATAAGTATGAAGTTGCAGGATTAAGACTCAAGTACTTCAAGATTGTCCTTAAGTACAGTATCTAAGTACATGACATACTGTCTACCGCAGTTCATTTGAACTTCAATGCTGACATTTCGGATGATAACTCTCGGGTGGGCAAATGTTTACTGTATTTTTTTTGACGATAATATTCTCATACTGTCATGTAAATCTCTAATACCTGATAAAAGCTTTACATATATTAGTGAAGCATGGCATACTGTATAATGGCTTGATCACTGTATATGCACAGCTGATGCACACGCTTCTCTTGACAACATTGACTTTTGATATGAGTTGGCCACTACAGATCACATTCCTTTTGTATTGACCATGTTGGATAGGCTGGAAAGGTATATTACCACAGCTGACAACCAGTTTGGTTTTAAAAGAAAACACGGCACAGATGTGTATTTCTGCTTTAAAATACATTATAGCAAAATATAGAAGCCATAATTCATAAGACTATGCAGGTGAATAGTATAGTGTGTCTGCACTTTATTTGCTCATTTTCATCATTCATGTATTTTATATTCTACTAAACTGAATCAAACCATAAACAAGGTGGGCTGTTGGGATTACAATATCGATATATTGATATAATATATCTGCATTATTTTATCCCACTTTATGCTTTGCTGCTTGTTTTACACAGATTTTATGTCTTATTTTTTACTGATGTGAAGCACTTTGAACTGCAATCCCCTGTATGAAAGGTGATATACAAATACAGTTATTATTATTATTCAGATGGATGTTTCTGCCCCTCTGTTCATTCTCCCATTCTCCTCCTCAATCTGCCTAGAACTATTTTAATGTTGTAGCTGTTACTATAACCAATACTAATGCTAGGGCTGCAACTGACAGTTATGTAGGCACATAGTTATTGTTTCTTATCGCTGTGTGATTAAAAGAATAAACACAAATAGCAGGATAGGCAATGCAAACATTTATTTTGTACCTTCAGACACACACAACATCAGAATGAGCTATTATCAACAGAGAACCCAAATCTGCTTTCAAAGAATAGACTTTCACAAAGCTGGAGGATAATATCACAACACAACCCCTTTATGAGCCAAACCACCATGGGAGAAAAAGATGGTACTATATCTTATCCCACTGAAAAGGCACTGCACCAATACCGTTAAAATATTGGCACAGTTCATCCCTGTGCTGCTTGGCTCGAGCTGAGTTATTGGTGGTGGGTGGCAGGGTGGCTTGCCGTAGGTCAGGGTCTTGTCTCCAGCTTCCTGGGACAGTTTCATGATCGGGTCCTTCCTGGTCAACAACTCCCGCCATGTATGCGCTACAGCTCTCTGTGCGCAGGAAGTTGTGCAGAGCACAGCCAGCCAAAACAATGGCCTCCACTGTGGCAGTGTCTTGAATGTTTATGGTGGTTAGGAAGACCCGAAAACGGTTGGCTAGGATGCCAAAGGCATTTTCTACCACCCTCCGAGCCCGCGACAGCCTGTAGTTGAAGATGCGTTCCTTTACAGCTAGCCTGCGGTTCGGATAGGGCTTCATGAGGTACTCTTTCAGGGGAAATGCCTCATCTGCCACAATGTGGTAACAAACCACCTCGTCAGAAGCAGGAAGTGGTGCAGGTGCAGGGATGTTGCATGTCCTATTCTCCAAGGCATCCTGCAGTGAGCATCCACCAAACACACCACCATCTGAAATCCTCCCATTACAACCTACATCGACATACAAGAACTTATAGTTGCTGTCGACCAGTGCCATTAGCACAATGGAAAATGTATGTTTGTAGTTGTAGTAGTAGGTTGATCCAGTTCTTGGAGGGGGGCGGATGTTGATGTGTTTCCCATCCAGGGCACCTAGGCAGTTTGGGAAGTTCCACTGAGCCTGGAATCCATCAGCTACTTGCTGCCACTCTTCCACTGTGTCTGGGCACTGAAAAACAAAACATATATTTTTTAAGAGCCATGTTTCATATGGCAAACCAAACATTTGCTGTTCAAATGCCTACAGACCTCACTGTATTACATACCGTTTGCACAGTAAAACTAGTAAGTATCCACACATACCTTCAGGTATTTCTCTTTTAAAACCTCGTAGATGGCTCTACAGGTCTCTGGAACGAATTGCCGGATGGTTGACACTCCCACTCTGAACTGGTAGGAAAGGCTCCTGAAGCTTTCCCCTGCAAATATTAACAAACACATAACTGAGTTATCTACACAAGCAGCTGAACAAAACACTCATTAGCTACAAAACTACAGGTTATAGTTTACAAGATAGTTGATTACTTTAAGTACTATGAAGATTCAGACAAATGATACAACATATAATAATGAAATATTTTAACATGCATTATTATAGAAAGATGATAACGCTTTATTGATCCCTTGGTAATTTCTCAAGCAACCAAGCAGTACTTTGGTACTTTGGCTTTGTACTTACACTAGTACATCTACATTACACTGCGGTATTACTACTAAAGCACAATATACAATAATATACAAGGTGCTGGCTGCAATTTCAAATATAGCAACATCTTTAGCTTGCATACCTGTTGCCAAAAATCGCAGCGTAACCATCAAACGTGTCCCCACGGAGATGCAATCCCGGTAGTTCGTGTTTTCCCTCTGGATGATTGGAGTGAGGAGTTCCTCCAACATGTGGAACTGAACAGGAAAAAGCCGAGCAAAATTTCGGAAATCTGGCTTTTTATGTGACTACAGCTCTCGACACAGGTTCGGGAAAGCCCCATGAGCCTCTCGCTGCAGTATCCACGATTTCACCCATTTAGTGCGGTTTCTCGTAATTCGTCGCTTCTGCCTCTTGAGATACTGTTTCTTGATAATGTGTTGCACAAGCAACACTCCAATGGCTGATATCCCCAGTGCCGCACGATACATGTTTTCAATGGACAAGACTGAAAATGGAACACACCCGCTATTTGCTGTTTGTTTATATCACAGTCTGTTCTTCTTCTCTTTCTTCCGGTTGTTGCCTATTTTGAATGACGAATACACACTACCACCGCCTGCTGGTAAGGGCACTTATTGCCACTCACGCATGCGCAGTTCGTACGTGCTCGGCTGAAGTAAAGCGGTGTATTTCAGTGCGACACACGGCCTAGACGCAGGAGAACTCGTCGATGGATCTGTCGGTGTTGGATGTCGGCGAGTTCTCTGGTGACTGCCTGGTGTGTCAGGGCCAACACGTAGGTTTCTGTAGGGTTCATGGCAGACGGATGCAGTTGTTCTCAGGAGGATATATAATAAAGGTGTGTTAGCTGCTGAGCCTATTTAGTGTGCATACAACACACCTGGCACAGTTTATTCATTTCACACGTAGCGTAGCGCGTGCATGTCGTCGTCCAATCCTTTTCTCAATCCTTCTTAACCGCCTTCGCTTCCGAATCAGCATTGCTATTGCATTTGACTGGTCGACGATCTGTATTTCTGTTTGCTTAAATAACTCAGACGAAGCTCATGTCTGAGGTCGGAAGGTAAACAGACGCCTCATTTACAGCAAGTGGGCGCGGGAGGTTTTTCTTCTTCTTTTTCTCTCGGTTTTTTGGCGGATTGCAACTTTAAGGTGCATACCGCCACCTACTGTACTCGCCGTGAAGTTGTTTGTGGCCTGCCAGTAAACCCAAAGCAGAAGAAGAAGAAGTGACGTCAGCGGTTCATTTGCCTAATCCACTCCCAGGAACTCATTTTGGTGTGAACGCGATCTGCTTTAGTTCATCAGAACTAAAAGAGCTCTCATGAACTAAAGTTCTCATGAACTATTGTGGGAAAAGTACTTGGTGTGAACGTGCCTATTGTTACACACAATGTCACTGTGTCATCATTATAAGGACCAGCAAATTCAACACGAAAAGTGCAGAGGAAAAGGAATGCTTTCATTCAAATTAAGTGATACATATGCAAATAAATACAGAATATAATCATGTACATTGCAAACAATAAAAATAAAATAAATGTGCATGTGATTTAAGACAAAAACATCTATACAAGAAGAATAGATCCCTGTCTAAATTGCACACAGATGTGTCATGTACATTTACACAGTCATTAATGTATGTTGCTAATGTCTTCTGGGTAAATATTAAAAAGCAGCCCTCAAAGTAACAGAGGACCTTTTTGGAACGAACAAAGAAGGAAACACATAATTTGCTTTATTAAAACATTTGTGAAGACAATAGTTGATGGCGGTTTGGTTTACTGAACAGGTGGTGGGCACATTAATACACTGGATCAATAAGCTGTTTAACATTATATTATACAGGCCTTAGAGGGCAGGGTTATAAAGGCTTGGGTAGGGGAGTGGTCTATACTTGATTGATAGCCTGGTGATCCAGGTAAAGAGGAGATTTTCAACAATGTGACTGTGTGTGACTTGCGTTCCAGATTGACTACACCCTGTCTGTCTGTATGTATGTATGTCTGTGTCATTGATGATGTATTAAGAACTGCAGGTCTGTGTGTCAGTCTAACACAGGGTGGGGTTACGCCACACACACACACACACACACACACACACACACACACACACACACACACACACACACACACACACACACACACACACACACACACACACACACACACACACACACACACACACACACACACGTTTTCAGAGGTGGGAGGTAACTAAGTTTATTCACTCAAGTAATGTACTTAAGTACAATTTTGAGATACTTGTACTTTACTTGAGTATTTCCATTTATGCTAGTTTGCAAAAAAGGAAAATTGAGAGGTAAATCATGTACTTTTAGTCCACTACACTTAAATAAGACTTACGTTACACCTGGAATAAATTCACAAGCTACCCTGCAGTATACACTTTAATGCATCAATAATTACACTGAACAAAAATATAAACGCAACACTTTTGTTTTTGCTCGCATTGTTCATGAGCTGAAATCAAAGAACTGAGACTTTTTCTATGAACACAAAAGGCCTATTTCTCTCAATTATTGTTCACAAATGTGTCTTAATCTGTGTTAGTGAGCACTTCTACTTTGATGAGATAATCCATCCACCTCACAGGTGTTCAACATGCTGATCAGACAGCATGATTACTGCACAGGTGTGCCTTAGGCTGCTCACAGTAAAAGGCCACTTTAAAATGTGCACTTTTGTCACATAGCACAACCCCACAGATGTCGCAAGTTTTGAGGCAGCGTGCAATTGGCATGCTGACTGCAGGAATGTCCACCAGAGCTGTCGCCTGTGAACTGAATGTTCATTTCTCTAACTTAAGCCGTCTCCAAAGGCGCTTCAGAGAATTTGGCAGTACATCCAACCGGCCTCACAACAGTAGACCACATGTAACCACAGCAGCCCAGGACCTCCACATCTGGCATCTTCACCTGCAAGATCGTCTGAGACCCTCGGACAGCTGATGTAACAAGCGGTTTGCATAACAAAATAATTTTTGCTCAAACTGAGCATTTTGAATGCACAGAGATAGCGTGAGGAGATCCTGAGGCCCATTGTTGTGCCGTTCATCCTCCACCATCACCTCATGTTGCAGCAGGATGATGCATGGCCCCATTTTGCAAGGATCTGTACACAATTCCTGGCAGCTGAAAACATCCCAGTTGTTGCATGGCCTGCTTCCTCACCGGACATGTGACAACGTGTTCCAGTTCCTGCCAGGGTGTAGTTGAAAGCATGGAGGCCGGGCCCAGGCTGGTAGACTGGCCTTGCGTCTCTTAACACAGGGGTTCCCAAACTTTCCAGCCCGCGACCCCCAAAATCACAGTGGCGACCCCTGTCAACGGGGGGGGGGGGGGGTTAGGGTCATTATTTTAATTTTCCGCACTCTCGCGGGAATATCTCCGCAATGGAGCGAGCTTAAGTTTCGATTGCATGATATAGCCCAGCGCAACACCTTCGTCACACATGTTGCCACTTGTTTGTAACATTTTCAGGCGATTTGTAATCTGTTCTAGAAAAACGATGTGTTTTTTAGGATTTCAAGAAGCATATAAAACATTTATCCATGCTGAAAGTAGATTTAGGAGTGAGATAAAGATTATAATATATGCATCCAATGAAGCATTGCATGAAGTCTGTTGATGATCAGAGGCTGTTGTTGAGGCTGCATAAACGTTTTTTTATTTTTGTTTTGTAGGCAGACCATGCAGGCCAGCCCGATGGTCACCAAGGTTCATGTTTTAATAGCATTTTTACAAAAAAAGCCCAGGCGAGCCTATCATGTGAAAAAAGGGCTTACCCCTAGATTCCACCAGGTCCGTCTGCGCCGCGTTGCGGTTTTGGTCCGGCCTCCTCCGGCGTCATACCCTACCAGGCGCGTTTCAGAAGCATTTCAGAAGCATTTCAGAAGCGGAGCGTCTTGCCTGCCGGCTCGCAGTTTTTGTTGATTTGGGCATATTTCCTGGACAGGCTACTTTGTACAGACAAAGTTAATAATAATTGTAATATTCCAGTTATAAACGACATGAATCAAAGATGTGTTGCTGTATTTTAGTGGTAAAAAAATGCATTCATCATCATAATTATTCTATATATATAATTTACACAGTGCCTGTAAACCGGAGGAGAACGCTGGCATTTCTCCTCCTACTTGAAAGACTACGGAGGGATAGGGTCTGCAAAATTAGTTTGTGTGTGTGTATATATATATATATATATATATATATATATATACATATGCTATATATGCTCTGAAGGTTCCACTTCCTGCCTGCCCGACCTTACGTTACGGCTGCGCCGCGACAAAAATAGGATTCGATCCTAATTTTAGAGGAGCCCTGCGCCGAGCCGCTTCTGAGCCGTAACGCGCAGCGTGTGGTGGAATAGCACCCATTGACTAGAGTGGCCGCGATCGCCGTGAGCACCGTGGCGCAGCCGTAATGCGCCCGTAACGCGCCCGTAACGCGCCCGTAACGCGCCCGTAACGCGCCGCAGACGGACCCGGTGGAATCTAGGGCTTAGACCTCAGAGAGTTAAACTTGGGCCGACCATAGTTTTACTGTATTTTGTTTTGAAAATCCAAAGTTGAGGTTTGTGTCGTACTACATGCAGTGTATTTTGCATACCTCTCAGTAGCTAACGATCTGTGAGTCTGTT